TCAGTGGCTGCTCAGCTCGGGCTGGACTTGAACCGCTGTTGCTCAGAGCTCAAACTCTTGAGCGAGCTCTTAACCAACTGAGCCACTCGGCCGGCCCTTCATTTCAATATTCTGAAGGGGCATTTTCTATATCTCTGAAGATAGGCAAACGATTTATTTTTGTTTCTCTAGAATACTGGCCAAAAAGTTTCTGTAACAAGACTACTAGGAACACATCAAGGAAAAGAGCTGCATATAAAGCAGGATTTAAGGTAATATTCACTTTCTGGAAACATCTACAAGTTTTAAAAATACCCTAAAACACTTTGGCTACCTATTTTCTCAGGCGCAGGCACTTTGGAAAGGCAGTGTTTTTATCACGGTGCGATCAAGTCTGTTTGTGATGCTAGATACGGATCAAGGTTTCCAAACTTTAGCTGAACTCCAGTGTCCACTGTTTGTTGCTGTACTTTGAGAAGGAAGTAAACAGTAGAAGAACATAATTGCAAAGAGTAGAAGTGGGAGTGTAAGTTAACTACTGGAAACCTTCGACTGTAACCCCAGCTCTGCTACTATGTAGCTATTTGAACCTACCATCATTTGATTTCTGTTTCACTTAATTTATCTGTTTTTGAAAAATGGATAATGGCACAGAAGGCTATGAGAATCAACTACAAGGAACCTATTAGACTCCCGACCCCAGAACAGTATTACCGTGAAAATCAGCTCAATTAATGCCTTATTTACAAGTTCTATCAGTATTATGATATGCTTACTTTTTCAGCTGATCCACATCAAAGTTGTCTTCTGGTAAGACTCTGATTCCCCGGCCATAACTGGTGCCTCCGTGGAGATGAAACTCTAGAACTAACGATGTTACTTGGTTTTCCGCTGACTGAAGTTTGCAATGGAGGCTATAAATTCTAAGAAAGCTCCCAACCTAAACATAAAAATAGATTAATTTGTTTAGAAAAGGAAGAAGAACAATTTCTGATACTCAAAATATTTAACAATTTTCATATGGGGCACAGACCAACAACCTGGGCACTGACCAATCAAAAAGGATGCTGGTATGTTACACGGGTGTGTATTGAGTAGCAGCCCCAAGGACACTGTATCAAAACCTAAACGTCTGTGTGAGTGTGTACATTTTCAAATGGAAGACATATTTCCAGTTCAGAGATGTTACAGATAAAAATAAAGCTGAGTCTTAGCATTGATAAACTAGTTAAGAAACCCATGACCTAAATCAAGTCCAAGTCCTCTGATTAATAAACCCATTAAGGTTTCTGAAAATAACTTCCTGTAACTATTTTAAGGTAAGATTGAACTAAATATGATCACTAAAATGCTGTCATTATAATACTAGAAAATATTTTAAAATGTGCTACTGTATTAAAATAATACATCCCTTATTCTGTAAGTTCTATGAAAACATGTTATAAACAATTTGTGTCTGTGCATCATAATGTGAAACACATTCTATGAGTTCAAATATAGGATTAAACCAATAATAGTTTTGAGCTAAATGTTAGAGTTAATTTCCATAGTTTTGCTAAACTTAGTCTTAAAAATATCTTTAATTATAGAGTACTTGATATGCATTTTTTTTATTAAATTTTACTGAGGTGTCAATTACGAGTAAAAAGATGGCCATACAGACATATGAAAAGGTGCTCAACATCACTAATCAGAGAAATGCAAATCAAACCCATAATGGGATATCACCTTACACTGGTTAGAATGGCTGTCATCAACAAGACAAATAGTAATAAGTGTTGGAGAGGCTGTGGAGAAAAAGGAACCCTCATACACAGTTGGTGGGAACGCAGATTGGTGCAGCTGCTATGGAAGGCAGTGTGAACGTTCCTCAAAAAATTAAGAATTGAATTACCATATGACCCAGCAATCCCTCTCCTGGGTCTCTACCCAAAAAACCTGAAAACATTCATCTGTAAAGATTTATGTGCTCTGATGTTCACTGCAGCTTTATCCGCAGTGGCCAAGATAAGGAAACAACCAAAGTGTCCTTTGATGGATGACTGGATAAAGAAGATGTGGTATCTATACACAATTGATATGCTTTTAATGTAGGAGAATTAAAATGAGGCAGATGCAGGGCCGGCCGAGTGGTGCGTTGGTTAAGAGCTGGCTTGGGACGCCAGAGGGCCCCGGTTCGGATCCCACATATGAGGGCCAGTGACACTGCCCTCCACAGCTAAGATNTTTTGCTGAGCCATCCTGCTACCTGTTGGCAGCTCAGCTCGGGCTGGGACTCAAACCGCTGTTGCTCAGAGCTCACACTCTTAAGCAAGCTCTTAACCAACTGAGCCACTCAGTCAGCCCAATCCTGACGTTTTTTAAAGAAAAATAACAAAAAATCATCAGATTTATATGGAATCCCAAAAGACCCTGAATAGCCAGAGCAATCCTAAGGAAAAAGAACAAGGCTGGAGGTGTCACACTCCCTGACTTCAATCTGTACTACAAAGCGACAGTAATCAAAACAGCATGGTACTGGCAAAAAAAAAAAAAAACAGACACAAAGACCAATGGAATAGAATTGAGAACCCAGAAATAAACCCCCATATATATGGGCAGATAATTTTTGACAGGAGCCAAAAACATACAATGGAGAAAAGAAAGCCTCTTCAATAAATGGTGCTGGGAAAATTGCAAAGCCATGTGCAAAAGAATAAAACTAGACTGCTATCTGTTACCATATACCAAATTAACTCAAAATGCATCAAAGACCTAAACACAAGACCTGAAACAAAAATTGCATAGAAGAGTGCTTGTTTCGGCAGCACATATACTAAAATTGGAACAATACAGAGAAGATTAGCATGGCCGCTGAGCAAGGATGACACGCAAATTCGTGAAGCGTTGCATATTTTTCAAAAAACTGGAAATGGAACTACATTATGACCCAGCAATTCCACTCTTACGTATTTATCCAGAAAAACCCAAGACATTAATTTGAAAAAATATATGCACCCCTATGTTCATTGCGGCACTATTCACAATAGCTAAGACTTGGAAACAACCGAAATGCCCATCGGTAGACGACTGGATTAAGAAACTATGGTACTTTTACACAATGAAGTATTACTCAGCTATAAAAAAGAAGGAAATCGTACCATTTGCAATGATATGGATGGACCTAGAGAACATTATGCTAAGTGAAATAAGTCAGTCAGAGAAAGACTAATGCCATATGACCTCACTTACATGTGGAATCTAAAAAACTGAATAAATGAAAAATGTAAACTGAAATAGTCTCAGAGACACAGAGGAAAAACTGAGGGTTGCTAGTTGGGAGGGGGTGGGGATGAAAGAGAAGGCGAAGGGACGAGACAATATAAATTGGTAACTACAATATGGCCTCAGGGATAGAAAAAGACAGTCTGGGGAATATAATCAATAATGTTGTAAATATTTTTTAGGAGGCCCGATAGACTCATGTCTTGTTAGGGAGACCACTTCATAGTCGGTGAAGAGCCTGACCACCGCACTGTATTTCTGAAGCTGATGTTGAAAATATTGTATGTCAACTATAATTATATATACATATAGTCATGGGATGTGGAGTAGAGTGTGGGAATGGAGTCAATGGAATTGTAATAGATAAGTGTGATATCGGGGGTGGGAGGGCAGTAGATGGGGGAGGGGCGTTGTTTCTGTGTGAAGGGTGAAAAGGATAACTAGTGCATTGTTCTGTACACCTGAAACTAATAAAAAAAATAATAATAATTGCATAGAAGAAAGCGTAAGTACTAAATTTATGGACCTTAGGTTCAGAGAGGATTTTATGAATTGACCTCAAAGGCAACGGAAGTAAAAGCTAAAATAGATGACTGGGACTATATCAAACTAAAAAGTTTCTGCACAGCAAAAGAAAGCATCAGCAAAACAGGGACAACCAACTGCATGAGAAAAGGTGTATTTGCAAACACCTCCAATGAGGGGTTAATATCCAAATATATATATATATATATATATATCTCCATGTATCTATCTATCTATCTATCTATCTATCTATCTATCTATCTATCTATATATATATAAAGAACTTATACAACTCAACAACAAAAGAACAATCCAATTAAAAAATGAGCAGAGGACCTGAACAGACACTTCTCCTAAGAAGACATACAAATGGCCAACAGATATATGAAAAAATACTCAACTTTCCTAGCTATTAGGGCAGCGGTTCTCAACCTTCCTAATGCCGCGACCCCTTAATACAGTTCCTCATGTTGTGGTGACCCCCAACCATAAAATTATTTTTGTTGCTACCCTATAACTGTAATTTTGCTACTGTTATGAATCGTAATGTAAGTATCTTTTTGTTTTCCAATGGTCTTAGGCGACCCGTGAAAGGGTCGTTCGACCCCCAAAGGGGTCACGACCCACAGGTTGAGAACCACTGTATTAGGGAAATGCAAATCAAAACCACTAGGAGATACCACCTCTCGCCTGTTAGAATGGCTATTACCAACAAGACAAGTAATAGCAAGTGTTGGAGAGGCTGTGGAGAAAATGGAACCCTCATATACTGCTGGTGGGAATGTAAATTGGTACAACCACTATGGAAAACAGTATGGAGGTTCCTCAAAAAATTGGAATTACCATATAACCCAGCAATCCCTCTTCTGGTTATCGACCCAAAAAACTCTGAAAACATTTACCTGTAAAGATATTTGTACCCATATGTTCACTGCAGTATTATTCATGGTGGCCAAGACATGGAAACAACCAAAGTGTCCTCGATAGATGACTAATAAAGAAGATGTGGTACATATACATACAGTGGAATACTATTCAGCCATAAGAAAAGATGAACTACTGCCATTTGCGACAACATGGATGGGTCTTGAGATGATCATGCTAAACGAAATAAGTCAGACAGAAAAAGTCGACTTCACTCGTATGTGGGATATAAAACTGAAAACAACAAATGAATAAGACAAACAAACAAACAAAAACTCACAGACAACAGTTTAATGGTTACCAGAGGGGGAGGGGCGTGACAGGAGAGGGTAAAGGGGATCAAATATATGCTGATGGAAGGAGAACTGGCTCTGGGTGGTGAACACACAATGTAATACATAGATGATGTATTACAGAATTGTACACTTGAAACCTATGTAACTTTACTAACCAATGTCACCTCAATACATTTAATAAAAATTTTTAAGAAGTATAATTACAAATTACACTGTTTCTAAATGATTTGTCAATTGAACTAAATTGGCCTCCTAATGATTGTTCAAGTAACACAACTCAGGCTAACATGCCACCGCCACGGCACTAGGAAATGTGGAGCAGTTTAAGGCAGAGAGAAAGAAGATGTAAATTTAAAATATATACAAAAAAATCAAGTAGCTTGCATTGGAATCTGACTGACTTTGCCATCAGCTAAAAGCTAAGTAACCCCGGGAAAATTATATGATCCCCCATCACTCAAAACCTCAGTTTCCTTTCTGTAAAAAAGAGAAAATAGTATCAGACTCATAAAACTGCCGTCAGCACTTAGTAAGTATCTACCAAGACACACATGTTAATTTTAATGCTTATCATTACTGGTGTAGAAAGAGAGTAAATACTGATAAAATGATTCTTTGGGTAATAGTAGAGGAGTTAGATTGTAAAAAATAAATATATAGGATAGAAATACCAGGGGTTCCAAAAGAATGTATACACATGGCTTGTATTCATCTTTTGTTATCGATATATATTGAGTATTACAATTTTGATACATTTCCTTTCTTAAAATGTGTATATATATTTTTGGCACCCTCTGTATTTATATTGGATAACATAGATTCTAGGTCCCGGTATGTACAAGGAGACAAAGTGGTAAAAGAAAAATCCTTACAGACTGAGAGTTTTAAAATTTAGAGACTTGAATAGTCACCTATTCAGGTAAATCAATAA